TGGGCCTGGTCCGTAGTCGGGTCCAAGTCGTGGCCTTTCGGCCTGTTATCCCCCAAGGTCGGGCCTTTAGGCCCTGATGTGTCCCTCTAGCCCTAAGTCGGGTCCGGTAGGACCCGTGTGGCGTCGAAGATGTAACACACTTCCTCTCTTAAAAGACCGGGATGGGTCGGGTGGGACGAGCTGCGTCCTTAGCAAGGCGTCGCTTCTCATAGTCGGCGAAGATAAGGGGTGCAGAAGTCTGCAAATCTGTACTGAAGATCCACCGAGTGTCGTCAGGCGCACATTGCTTGAATGTGACTTTGTACTGCATTGGTTCGTTGCCATACTTGCGGTGCGTGATGACTCGGTCCACTTCCTAATGTTCGTCCATGGAGGGCGAATCCTGTGATCGACGTCCGGGAAACTCTTCATTTGAAGGTGGCGTGTAGATGGCCAGCTTCGATGCGTGGAAGACCCGATGCACTGTCAGGTGCGGTGGAATGTTGATCACGAAGGAAGGACTTGCGGGATCGTCTCCAACGACAGAAGTGACTTCCCATGGTCCGAACCATTTCGGAAGGAGTTTGCGCGAAACGTCCTGCTCGAGCGCAAATTCCTCGGAGAGGACCCAAACAAGGTCTCCCTCGCGGAAAGGACATGGAAGACGACGTCGGTTAGCTTGCTGCTGCATGCGGATCTGAGCCTTTTGCATATTTGTGCGGGCTTTGTTCAGCAAGTCCCGGTACTTCCGGACGGAAGCGGGAGAGCAAGGGACGTCTATATCGGCAGCCTGTGGCAAAAGGAGATCAGCGAAGATCTGTGTTTTCTCTCCACCATGATGTAACTCGAATGGTGTGACGCAGATCGCCGAGTGCACCGAAGTGTTACAGGCGAACTCGATGTCGAAAAGCCGGTCAACCCAATCTTTTTGGTCGGGACGGATGAGCGTACGCAACATCATCTGAGCGGTCTGATGCGCTTGTTCCGTCTGACCATCCGTCTGCGGGTGTCGAGCCGAGCTCGGTTTCATTGTCGTACCGGACTCAGCCATGAGGGAAGTCCAAAAGGCTGACATGCTCACTATGTCTTCCGGAACACCTTGGTTGGTAATCCAACCGGTGTGCAAGAGTCGTGCGAGCTCAGGCGCTGCAGCATGATACTTGCAAGGAAGGAAGCGAGCATACTTGCTCAAACGGTCAACGACCGTGGGAATGCCGTCATGGCCATGGCGATCGCGGGGAAACGGGCCTATCACGTCCATAGCAATGGAGAGGCGTGGTGCCCGAGGAATCGGCAACGGTTTCAGTTCGCCGAAGGGGACTCGAGATCGACCCTTGTTTCGGTGGCAAACTGCACATGACTCAATGTACCTCGTGACGTCATGAAGGACGTCGGGCCAGTGAAAACGCTGGCGGAGGCGTGGTAGTGTGCGGTTCACGCCAAGGTGTGTCGAAAGTCATGCGTCGTGGAATTCGCCGAGAAGACGAGTCCGTAAGATGCGATCTTGGGGCACAACTAACAAGTCCTTTCCTCTCGTGTGAAGGAGAAGGAACCCGTCGGAAATCCGATAGTGGCTAGCCGGCGGGTGATCCGATGAAAGCTCCGCGTAAAGCTTAGAGTAAGTCGGATCGGACTTGTAGCCTTTGACGAAATACGGCTGCAGATCGTCATCGAGGTCGAATGCCGTGGTCACAATGGCACTGAAGTCGGGCCGTCGTGAGAGGGCGTCCGCAGCTCGATTGGCAGGACCGGGAATGTGGCATGGGTCAAAATCGAACTGGTCGATGTAATACATCCATCGACCGATCGTGCTAGTGACCGTGTCTTGCGTTTTATAAAAGGTCAACGGATTGTTGTCCGTATTCCATTTAAAACACCGACGGCCGATAAGAAAGTGGCGCCACCGTTTGAGAACGGTGACGAACGCGAGTAGCTCTTTCTTCCTAGCGTCGTCGAGAGTGTTGACGAGAGGCACCTTTTGGGAGAAATACTCAACCGGATGCCAACCGTCCTCGTGACACTGTTCCAACACTGCACCAATACCGTATCCCGAAGCGTCCGTAGTCACTTGGGTGGGTAGGGTGGGGTCGTATATACGGAGGGCAGGTGCGGCTTGCATCGCTGCCTTCAACGTAGTGAGCACGCCACGGGCTGCGTCGTCGAACTCGAAGGGCACCTTCGGGGACTGAAGTCTCGACAAAGGAGCGGCCACTTTTGAGTATGACTCGACGAATCGCTGATAATATCCAGCCAAACCCATGAAAGAGCGTACATCCGCCGTGCAACGGGGTTCCGGCCAATCCACGATGGCTTGGATCTTGTCCGCTCAGGGACGAATGCCTTTCGGCGTGACAAAATGACCCAAGTACTCAAGCTCTTGCTTGGCGAATTTGCACTTGTCGAGATTCGCTTTGTACTTGGCTAGTCGCAAACAATTCAAAACAATGCGAAGGTGTACGATGTGCTTGTCCAACGTCCTACTATAAACCAAAATGTCATCAAGGTAGATGGGGACGCTGCGATCGAGCAAGTCGCGAAACTCAGTCGTCATTGCTGCTTGAAAAGTTGCGGGGGAATTGGTGAGGCCAAAGGGCATGACAACCCACTCAAAATGCCCGTACCGCGTYTTGAACGCGGTCTTGTACCGGTCTTGAGGCTGGATTTCAATCTGGTGGTAACCTGACTTCAAATCCAACTTCGAGAAGTACGTCGCGCCGCCTAACCGCTCAAGGAGATCATCAATCCGAGGGAGAGGGCCGGCGTTCTTTACGGTTTGTGCGTTAAGTTTCCGATAGTCGATGCATAACCGTAAATCTTTGTTCTTCTTCCGGACGAAGAGAACAGGTGCACCGTATGGCGAGCAACTAGGGTGAATCCAGCCCTTGTCAAGAAGATCATCGAGTTGTGCGCGAAGCACCTCGAGTTCCTCTTCGCTCATGCGGTAGATACATCCACGCGGAGGGACGGCGCCAGCCTCGAGAGTGATCCCGTGACGTATGGGCCGATCCGGAACCGTTCCGGTGGGAGCCTCGAAGACGTCTCCATACTCGTCCAGGAGGTGGGAAATGCGTGGGTCTGGCGGTGACGCGGCTGGTCTGTCCGGCGGTGACGCGGCTGGTCTGTCCGGCGAGGGGAGAGCATGCAAGAATACAAGGCCCATCTCCTCGACGTCATTCCGAGCAATGGCGTTGTGAATTCTCGCAACAGAAACCACGTGACAAGCAATCGAAGTGTGAGGGGTCGCGAGCGTACATGGGACTAACACTCCGTTCCGATCACGGATGTGAACGGTTCGGTCATGGAAGTTCACCGGATGATCGGCGCTACGCAGCCAAGACATGCCTAGAATCATGTCAAACTTGGTGTCGAGGATGTCAAAAGACACCGGCTCGCACGCAAGTGGCGCAAAGTAGACCGGAACGCCGTCAACGCATCGGTCAATTGACTTTTGCGTGCTGCCGTCCGCGAGTGTAACTTGCGTAGGCTGCGTCTTCCTTCGAACGCGCGGGCCAAGACCTGCGCGAGCCATAAAGGCTTGGCTCATAAAGTTGCAAGACGCTCCGCAATCAATCAAGGCACTACAGGTTGCCTTTCCGATTTGAATGCGGATATAGAGCAAAGGTGCGTCGGTTTCGGCGTACCTTTGGGTGGCGTACTCGCGGTCAATCTTCGCAAGATAGGAGCGGAGATCGACAACCGCTACCCCGTCGTCCGTCAACGGAGCTGGTACTGTAGTGTGCAAATGGGGGCGTAGAGTTGCCATCAAGGCGTTGCAATGCGGCCTTGGCAAGGTTCCGGTCGAGGGTAGAGGCATCCAAACGAAGTCCTCTCTCGTGAGCGGGTCAAGCTCCTCAASTCTTGACCACGCCGTCGAGTCCTCGGAAATCAGTGGCGAACTGACCGGATCACTTGCCGACGATGTACAAGCTGCGCATACGCTAGCTAAGTGCACGTGGCTTGGCTGGGCGGCATAATCCTTGTACGTGGCACGAGAATCAGCAACTAAAGCATGCTCCCCGGTAGTGACATCGATTGCTAGCAAGGCAACCGGGTCCGGCGGAGTGAGGAGAGACGTCGCCCCTCTCCTTGCGTAACTCAGTTTCCCGAGTTTGCTGGACGGGGTACGCGTGCCTTGCCCTTTTCGRGGCATTGTGCGGTCACATGAGTGACGCCGTTGCACTAGAGGCAGTATCCGTACTTTTGACGAAGGTCATAGACATCCTTGGTTATCTTGTAAGCCGTCCATGGCTGCTGCCCAGTTCCCGTCGATGATGTCTCTTGTGTCGCCTTGTTCTTCCGAACTCTCTTGGGACGCTTCGGCGGGAGCGCTGCTACAATTCCTCCATCACTCGAGGATGCTGCTGCAGCGTGGAGATCGTCTGTTTCATCAGAAATCACGGCATTGTTATGTGTCGGACGTTGATAGCCCTGCTTAGCCACATAATGCGGCTGGGACTGCCGTTCGTTTGCGGCCTTGTCATCCGTTTGGATGACTAAGTTCGCACGATCCAGAATGGCCTGGAACGTGTCATAGTCGTACTCGTTGCCGAGTGCCGACCGCAGTCCCGCGCACGATCGCGAGAAGAACTCGGATCGTTGATTTGGAAAACTCAAATCGAATCCTGGCGTGGTCACTATCTTCTGCCACTTGGTTGTCCAGTCTCGAGTTGGCATATTTCCTTGAGAGCAGGTGTACACCTCGTTCATGGCCGCCTTCACGACGTTGCGGACCATGAACCGGGTGAACCATASCTTCTCGAACTCTTTCCACGTGATGTGCGTGTGGAGTTCGGCGATGGTGCATTTGTTGGTAGCCGCCAGATGGTTTATCCAAGCCTGCGCTCCTCCAATTAGTTGCAAGTAGAGTGCCTTCATCATGTCGTCTGSCGGGACAGTGCGGCATGATGCTTCCGTGAGGAAACGTTGCCACCATGTCAAGGCGTCCGACTTGTTGTAGTCGTCAAACTTGCTGATGTCGAAGTGCGGCATCTTGTAAGTCTTTGTAGCGGCGTCCGGTCTCGTTTGCAGCTTGGTGATGTCCGTCTTGATGGCGGCCACCGTGCTACTGATCGTGTCCGGCCTACTGAAAACACCTATGTCGCCGATGATGGTGACGACGTGATCGATGCGCTCATTGAGTTGCTTCGTCGCGTCTGTCGTGCAGCCTGGCGCTGTTGAGGCGTTAGCCTCAATGCTGTTGATGTGTGCGAGAGCGGAGTTCAACAGCTGATGTTGTTGCTGCTGCTGTGTTGCTTCGGCGCGGATGGCAGTTGTTAAAACAGCAATGTCTTGCTGGTACTTTTGTCGCTGCTGTCATTCCGTGCGCAGTGCCTGCAGCAGTGTGTTATTCCACATGATGCCTCTCATCATGCCCAGCATCAAGTTAGCCAGGTGAGTCCTCTCTGCCTCCGCCGGTGTCGGATCTGCCTGCGCGTCCGAAGGCACAAAGATCATGCCTTGGAGGAACGTTGTCCACTGAATTTCACTATGAATGAGGTACTCCGTACTGGCGGCATTCCGTTGGTCTCGTGCTGCTGCGTCAGCCTCAGCAGTCTGCTGAGCTTGGGCTGCCGCCTCATTGGCCAGCCGCTGACGTTCTGCCTCTGTTGCCTTCTGCTGAGCCTTGGCGGCAGCTACGGTATCTGTAAATACCTGTAGCCGCCCAAAATAGTCTGCCAACGGCTCACTGGCCCTTCGGACCGGGCATGCGGGAAGAACTCCGGTGGTGTCCGGTACCGTCAATGTTGTACTCGATGCCGCTGGAGTCGTCCGCCTGCTGAGTCTTTGTTGCTGAGCCTTGGTTCGTGGAGGTACCGTAGGTCGAGCACGAACTGCGAGCCTGGCACTGCGCCGTGGCAGTGCCCCGGTATCCTGTTCCATCGACATCAGTGTGTACTGATGCGGTACTTGAGAGGTCCCAGTGGTCACAGAATACAGGGAGAGTAGGGAGAGTGGGAACAGGGGTAGAACAATCAAACATTACGCATACAGTTCCCTGTCCCACTGATGGACTGTAGACACCTAATCAAACAGAGAAATAAATTTCCCGTTAAACCATTCAAAATTTCGTAATAAGGAATTAATAACGATTTAATCCATAGAATTAATTAATGATAAATAACGAAATACTCCTAATGATGATCAATAAAACAATGTTTGTAATAAAGATAAGCAATAATCATTATTTGCAATATAGATAATCAATAAACAATAATTGCAATCATAAACGAATTTGRAAGGTATTATGATTAGGTCTCTTTGAGATCACTTTGAGTCCGGGAGTTCAACGTTAATGAGTGAAGTACCCGGAAGTTGCAGTTTGAGGGTCAGATACGGCTTAGTGTGCTGAAAAAAAATTCGGAAAATTTCAGAAAAAAAACGCTCGAATTTTCAAAACGCGAATTTTCGGGAATTACCACCGTCAAAATCCGATTTTTAAAAGCCTAAACCTGTTTTTGGAATTTCTCAAACAAGGGGAACGAAAAAAAAATTCGCGAAAATTTCGGTCCCAACCCTAATTTTCCGCGTGTCCGCGAAATTTCCGGATTTACGGTCCCAAAACGTTCGAATTTCCCCAAGTTGATCGAAAAACCCAAAGATGGTCGTAACCCTAATTTCCAATACTGAAAGACAACGGGAATCCAAAAGAAAACGAAATATAGGATTTGCAACAAAATGCCGAAAAATGGAATGCTGAATGGAAATCAGAAACGCCGAATTTCAACATGATACTGATTCAACCCTAATTCRTGTAAAATCAGAAATCCGAAACTTCATTAATTATCGGATTAGTGTCACTCAATCGGAACTCAAATAGACAGCATACCGGAAGAAAACAGAAATCCGGATTATAAGTCCGAATACCGAATTGAACGGAAATGCCGAACTAAATAGAATACCGAAAAAGAAAAGAAAAGAAAAGAAAAATAATAATAAAAAAAATTTGCAACTTTGAACTTAATAGTAGTACAGCGCTGATTTGGAAGATTGAGAAAGCAATCTAATTCCTAACCAGACTTACCTTTGTGAGCAGATCCGTTATATGGTCTGCTCCGATACCAAAACTGTTACATACTCGAATGAGTATGGGCAGGACCAAGGATCAACCAATGTAGGATGAGCATATATGCAACGGAAGTCTGATGAACGGACTGACTCACATAGACTGACTCA